TTTTACCTGCCTAAAGGTTTGTGATCTAATGTAGCACGAACCTGTCATGATGACGTTGGACACAGTGGCGTAAATAAGACTTGCGAACTTATTCTGAGAACTTATTGGTTTCCATATTTAAAAGATTTTGTTAAGACATAAGTAATTGTTTAAATTGTAAAGTATATTCAGCCCCCTCCGGTAATCTGAAGGTATTTTACACCCAATTCCAAAAGGTGATGTCCCATTTGATACAATTCATTGTGATCATTATGGCCCACTTGAAAAAACGGGTAAAAATTATAAATATATTTTTGAGGTCATAGACGCTTTTTAAAAATACGTATGTAAAATTTTATCCCTGTCGTACTACCAATGCCTTAGAAACTATAAACCATCCTAAAAACTATTTTTGTAATTATAGCCGACCAAACCGAATCATTGCTGACCGTGGTTCAAATTTTAGTTCTGAAGAATTTAGAATATTTCTAAATAATAATGGTATTAAACTTATACTTATTGCAGCCGGTACTCCTATGCCTAATGGTCAAATTGAAAGAATAAATAGATATCTAAGACCTATGTTGTCCAAATTATTCCCTGAGTTAAATAAATGGGATCGTGTACTTCATGACGTGGAATTCGCATTTAATAATACTTTACTATACTAAGTAGTTCGCCATCTATTTTGATGTTCGGTGTACATCAAAAGGGAAAGATTACTGACCCACTTAAAGAATATTTAATGTCATTAAATGAGTCACGCGATTTAGAACAATTTCGGAATGACGCATCTACTAAAACAGGGTTCCCACCAAGAAAATGAAACAAAATTCCCTGACTTTTCCAGGTTTTCCAGACCAATTTTTATCAATTTCCAGCAATAATTATAGGTACTATGCTCCACACCTCAAAGTCCCACCACGTGACCAAGTACGGAACGCAGTCTTTTGAAAATTTGGCATTTAAGGCTTTTCAGGTTATGTATCTGTCAAAGTATAGTCAATGAAAGAAATCATATTTATAGTGATACCGCTTATGTTTAAGCGTTAAAAGTTAATAAATCTTTATAGTATCACAATAACATGGTTGGTTTAAGAATTTACGAATATAAATACTGCATTTAATGAAATTCCAAAGTGTAAGGTGCAATATAAGTGATATTTTTGTGCATTGGGTCTACATTTCTCCATAAAATAGTTTTAACTAAGCAGAATTTATTAAAAAAAAATCTAACTTCTCTATTATGAATTAAGAATATCTGTATTTGATTTATCAAAGGTAGGTTAATGTATTAGAACAAAAAATTTCATCTAATTTTGTATTTTAAGGTTAGAAAAATCTATTTTGACCAAAATAAATAAGTGGATTATTTGGAAGAGTGTGTTAATTTGGTCATAAATAAATATAGGTATACTAAATAATTGTTGAATATGGTTCAAATTAAAATGAAGCTCTTATACTTCTAATGACAAAACTTGTGCATACCTCTCGGCATACCTACTTTAAGTTATGTAGATTATAAGAAAACAAACAATTTTTAGAGAAACTTGCAATGTGAAAATATTTAATACTCCCATGACATGTGATTTATTAAAATTTTAGTTATAATGATTTTTTGATGTAGATCAAATTCAGTCGAAGCTTTTTAACTATTTGTATTGACAAAACTTTATGTACGTACACTTTAAGCTGGATAAGAAAAACTACCACATTTTTAAATACCATATTATACAGTCTTTTAAATAATCCAAAATACTTATTTATTTTGGTCAAAATAAATTTTTCTAACCTTAAAATTACAAAATTAGATGATATTTTTGTTATAATATATTAACCTAACTTTAAAACAGATATTCTTATTCCATAATAGAGAAGCTAGATTTTTTTAAATAAATGCTGTTTAGTTAAAATTATTTCATGGAGAAAACCAGATATTTGGACCAAATGCACAAAAATATTACTTATTTGGCACCATACACTTTCATTTCAATTTCATTAAATGCAGTATTTATATTCTTAAATTCTTAAACCATCCATTGTTATTCTAATGTTATAAAGATTTATACATTTTTAACGCCTAAACATAATATTATTTCTTTCGTTGACTATACTTTGACAGATACATAACCTGAAAAGCCTTAAATGCTCAATTTTCAAAAGACTGCGTTCCGTACGTGGTCACGTGGTGGGAATTTGAGGTGTGGAGCATAGTACTATGCTATGCTATGTACATGTAAAGTAAAAATATATTTTTTTTTTCATTTACAATTTTTTTTTTCTTAAAATATAATAAAAAAATTAAACAGAAAATTCATAAAAAAATTGTTTATAAGGTCATACATTTTATAAGTATTTGTGCAAATGATTTATTTTAGTTTCAATGCCCGGCTATATTATTTGTAAAAAATAATCTTCGGCCGGTAATAAAAATAGAAACAATTTTCGGAAAAATCAAGAAAAATTAGTTTAATTCCCTGACTTTTCGTAAAATTCAGCAAATTCCCTGACTTTTCGTAAAATTCAGCAAATTCCCTGACTTTTCCCTGACTTTTTTACTAATATTTAATTTCCCTGACATTTCCAGGTTTTCCCTGTTTTCCAGGTGAGTGGGTACCCTGTAAAATTTTAGCGACACAAAATTACAATAAGAGATATTATGATCAGAAACATAAGGCTCCACACACGTATAAGGAAGGTGATTTTGTTGTAAGAACAAATAATGATGTTACTCCCGGTTTAAAAAAAAACATTTATCTCGATTTAAAGGACCTAATGTGATTACAAAAGTTTTACAGAATGATAGATATGTGGTTGAAGGTCCCAGGTTTTCAGATAAACCATAAGAGTATTTTAGAATCTTCAAATTTACGCCCCTATGTAGACCCCAAACCTGATATTGATGAAAATTAAACCTTAGATTATGTTGTGATTTATGTTCCTTTATGATTTGATTTTTATTTTATGAATGTGAATGTTACTGAATTTTTAAGATAATTATGTAAGGGAAACATGTTAAATTATGTGCAATGTATATGTATATGCAAATTTATGTTACAACAATGCATATTTTCTTTGAAAGATATTAAATTCTTAAGTAGACTTTTATGACTGAATTGTGTTAGGATACGTTACGTTATTTTATGTTTATGATTTAAGAAAAGACTGTACACCTATTATGATTATTATGTTAAACCATATTATTTTGTAATATGATGCGCTGAACATGACATTTATCGAGGTCGATATATTGTCAGCACGGCCGAAACTGTAGTATAAATATTTTAAAATTCAAATTACGCGCCACATTGTTAAGTTGGTAGAACTGTTTAGGGAAGGAGAAGAAGAGATGTTGAGAGAAGATGTAAAAATGTGTGGAAAACTGATAAACAAATTTATTATTACGAATTATCCTGGCCATCCTCACAAAAGAAGGATCCATGTGAATCCCTAAAAATTTGATAGATTCGAAATCATTTACATTTATGTTGTTTTTCATAGAAAAAAACAAATTCTGTGTCTTAACTTTATTTAAGCTCAAATGGTTTGCAGAGAACCACCTGTGGACACCTGGTTGCAGATTATGACACCTCGCCAAAACAACGATGGCAAACAAAATAAAATTACTAGGTACAGATGCAGGTAAATCACTTACATAAATCAAGAACAACAATGTCCCTAAGACGGATCCCTGGGGAACGCCAATATTTATGTTTAGCTTATTAGATAAGCAATTATTGTATTTAACAAAATAAGTGGAGCGTTTGCACCTAAAAGCAAATTGACAATTTATAAATAAACACATTTTTAAAGTAAATGGCAACTCTTCTTTGAATGGCTTTTTCATAAATTTGGCTGTCTACATAATCATGATTTTACAGGAGAAGAAAAAGAAATCAGTTTCAGATACTGCAGTCCCATTTTAAATCACAATAGTGGTTTATATAGTTAAACACAGCGCAAATCAAACGATAATAAAATTAAAGTCTAATTGTGTAAAAACCTCAAAATTTAAAAATTTGTGGTTGTAACCAACCCATCCGGGTATAATGTATAAGTATTTTTTTAAGGTCTTCCCAAAAGGACAGAAGAAAGTAAAGTCAAAACTTTAAATGACGCTTAAAATTTTTAAAGCTTCGGCAGTTTAAAGACTGGTACTGTTCTTTAACTTAACAAAAATATATTTTTTAAAAATGGGATAAGTAAAATCAAAATGTTTCAATATTTAACCGTATCTAAGACATTTTATATTTGATAACATTTTAAAAAATTAATTTAATACTTTGGTTTTAAAACATGTGCGTAAATTAAACATATACCTGGTAGGTATATGAAATGAAAGAGCAGTACGAGTAAAGCTATCTATTAAATACATCCGCAATATATTGTCCCTTCTACTTAATTCGTGCCTTTTGGATGTCCTTGATTTTCAAGATCTCGCAGCACTAATTTTTAATAGCGCGCTTATGATTATTATAATAAATAATAATATTTAAATAGAAATATGGCTAATAAAAAAAAATTCAATACGGCGCATCCGTGCGAAGTGTGCTCAAAATAAACTGCGAATAAGTATAGTATCCAGTGCTTTGAATTTAAGCTCCGGCATCACATAAAATGTGTATCGAAAGATACCATGAAGAAAATTAAAGCCAAGAACAAGAAATCCGGTGGTGAACGCTGGAGTTCTATTAAAAATCCACCCACTTTAATAGATTTAATGCAAAAATTAAGTCTCATGGATTCAAAAATGGATGATCTCATAAATAAATATGATGAACAGCTAATCATAAATAAAAAAATTAAGGAAAATATTATAATTTTTGGAGTTATAAAGGAAGAAGCCAATATTGTTGTTTTAAAAATTGCAAAAAAACTAAAGATTAACATAAAAAATGATGATTTTATATGTCAACAAATGGGAAAAAAGAACGACAAAGGGGAGCAGTAACTGAAGGTAAAATTTCATAAAGAAGAACATAAATCCAATATTATAAAAGCCAAAAAGGAGATATCAAATATTAAATCCGAAGATCTGGAAAATTAATACTATTTAGATTAATGTACATAACAGTTGATATTGCTACATCACAATCCCCTGCAAGTGCCGCCGTCGATTGTTGTGGATTATTGACGACGGAACCGACTATTTCTATTTGTTTGTCTTCTGAGATTGATTTTCTACCCGATCCTTTCTGCCTACTCAAACTTCCAGTTGTTTGAAATTTAGTCACTAACTCCCGTAGATATTTTCTGCAAATAGGGTTGTCTGGGTACCTTTTATTAAATACCCTCTCTGCTTGGTGAAAATTACGTCCAACTTCAGCATAAATAAAAATTGCTTCTGTTTTTTCTTCCAACGGGCGAGCGCGAACCATTTTCCAATGAAATAATAAGTAAAATTGCAGGCACAACTGATAAATAGTGTTTCACTAAAGAGTACAATTATTTTATAAACCGCCTTATAACTACAATGGTACGTTTTTTTTTACAAAACAAAAACAAAAAAGTGTCAAAAAAAATAAATGTTGATACAGATTTACGATAATTTGCACCGCCAGGGCCGGATTTACCGAACAGGCAACGTATGTAGCTGCCTAGGGCGGCAAGAAAATGTATTAGTTTGAAAAACTGAAATGCTCAATTACTTAGCAACCGTTAAACGGATTTTAAAAATTTAAATAGCATCGAATAGAGAATCGAAATACCTTTCAAATGAGGTATCACAAGCCCCCTTTCCCTTTGAAATTTTTAAGTTGTTACTGCCCTCTTGGCGCTCCTTAAATGGGCACCTATCAATTTGACGTCAAAAAGTAGTATTCTTAATGTCCTTGACAATGGTTTTTGTCCGATGTCGATACCTTTTTTTGTTCAAAAGATAACAGGGGGGGACTTTTAACGTCCGCACTGTATAACTAAGGTATAACTAATTATATGGTTTTAAACAATGTTAATAATATTCAGTTTGATTTTAAAATTAATCAAAAAGCAATAGAAGAAGTGTCTAATACAAAATATCTAGGACTCATATTAGACAACAAACTAAGCTTTAAAAACCATATTAAAAAGAAAAAAAATAAAATAAATTTTATGTTTTTTTCTTCGTAGGAATATTTCTTTTTTAAACTTATAAACCAAATTCAAGATTTATCATGCCTATGTAAATACCCACTTAATGTACCTGGCATGTATTTGGAGGCATGCAAGAAATCAAGATTTAGACCAATTACAAGTTATACAGTCAAGCAATAAAATTAATATTTTCAAAACCTCCAAGGACTAATACAAGCACTCTGTATAATGAAGTACAATTATTACAAATTAGAAAGATAATAAGGATGTATTCTTTAATATTAATTTACAAAATTAAAAACAACCTAATACTTACCAACATAAGCCTACAAATGAACAGTGATATTCATGAATATAATACAAAAACCAACCAACAAGAAATATAGTTACAGTCGAGTGCAATAGCTCAGTAGCAAGGCAATTTAAAAATCGCTTGCGATGCTCAGTGATAGCTCCGCCTACTCCTGAATCTTCACCCCTTAACTTCTGTGTCTTAACCAAGGTTACATTAGGCCACTGCGATACATCCTTCGGGTTTTTCTATATTTAGTCCATGTGTTCATGTATCATGTGTTTATTCTATGTTTACAGGCCTTTAAGACTCTTTACGGTGCAGCGGCATATTTCAGATGAAACACGTATGCGAATTACGTTTTTCCATGAGAAAGGGCAAAATATTTCCCAAATATCAAAACAATTAAATATTTCTTTAAGAAAGATCAATTAAAAGGAAATACCGTAAAACATGTTGACTTGAAACTCTTTGCAGCGCTTGACCAAAATAAAGGCTGCTATCTAGGGGTTAAAATTTGAATATCAAAATATAGCTATAAAATATAACATCAAGCATGCTAGTTAGATTAATTTATATTGTTTATAAAAATCTAGATTTGTTTCGTAACCTTGTAAAATCAATTATTTTTAATCAAAGATTGTAATATATATTTTTTTTGCAGTTGTAATTTTAAAGCCTGTTATAAATTCTTTCTTCTTTGTAGTTTTTTGTAATTTTTTTGGGTAAATATATAAATAAAAAAAATAAGGGCGTATGGGGTGCTATGGACAGAACGGGCGAGGGAGCTCTGGCATGGCACGCTACTGAATGCAGTTTTGTTAAATATTAAACTAAAGGCGGCTAGCGTTTTGGTAACGACTATCCAACGGGTGTTGTCGTTCCGTAAATGTTGCGAAAAAGTAAACGTAGAATTTTGTGAACGTATTTTTCTGTCGTTATTGTTTGGCAGTTTTTGAACGCTACTGTTACTTTTTTTGCTGCGCAAGGTAAAATTACGCATCAGGCATTTTATTAGCCTCCTTTTTGTTAAATTAAATATTTTTCAGAATGATTCAAACAGCAGTGCGACTGTCTTTACGCTGCCAACCAACCTACATTTCCTTGCTATTTTTAATTTATTATTTTCTTGTAAAAGAAAATATGTAACAGACAATACATTCGTAATAAAAACGTTACTGTGTCAAACAGTTAAGTAAAGCGTACTGTAATTTTCGATCGACAATAAATTTTTTGTTCGATGTGTCAAAATGAACAATGTTTAATTTATTTTATTTCTCAGTTAGTATACTTATTAAAATAATATTTAAAATCAGTTAATATATTTTATAATAATTATAATTCGACAATGGTTCTTACGAAAATTACGTAATTTTAAAACTGTTTGTCCAACGTGTAATTTGTTTGTTTGTTTTTTATTCTTTGACCGCCGGTTTATGCAACTACTTATTAGTTCATTTTAAAAAGTTTGGATTACTGTTTGAAGTAAGCCGGTAAGTTTAATAGGTAATTATTATAATTTTTATAAACATTTTTTATTAGTTTATTAATTTTTAATGGAGCCCGAGGAAAAAAGGAAGCTTTTTAATAAACAACATTTTAAACGCCCTAAACAAGATGAAAACAGTAAAAATAATAGTGAGAAAGTGGTTTGTGAACCTTCCTCGCAGGCTTTAGATTTTGAGTATCTAGGTCTGCAGCTCAGAAAGCCGACCTTCCTGAGTTTATGTCTGATTATTCAGATCCTGGTTTAGACACAGATAGTTCATAATGATCAAACTAAGCACCTTTAGCATGTTCGTTAGCAAATTGGGTTGTAACACATAACATAAATCATTGCATTGTCCAATCTTTAATATATTTTAAGAAAAAACTATTCAGAACTCTCTAAAGATCCAAGAACCCTTTTAAAAATACCCAGACACACTGGTACCCAAATTAAAACTATAGAGCCAGACTTTTATTATCATTTTGGGTTAGCGCACTGGTGTACTGTTTATTACTTTTATGTCAATACTAATTAAATTTCACTTTCTTACAGATTTCCAGCCAAGCAGTAATTTTTCCAAGAAGGGCCCTATTTCATCAACCACTTTGAAAAGCACCCTAGAATTAATAAAGAACAATGTAAACAGTATAGGTAAGTTTTGTGAGCTGTTATTAATACTGTTAATGTACCTAATGAATGCATTTTAGGTAAAACATTCAAAACAGGTACCAATTGTTGTTGCAATCCACAGTTGTTATATTATATACAGTTGCGGCTGTTAGAAATTAATTTCAAAGTGGGAAAATGTGGAGCAGAATGTCGTAAAAAAGAAAAAATAACAAACATTTTAGAAAAATCCAAAGTGAACTTCCCTATTGAAACAAAAGAAAAATTAAAAGTTTTTGAAAATTTTCTTTCAGATTCTGAAAATTATATTTAGCATTGGTATTTTTTTATATCATCCTAGAATTTTCATAAAGTTACATTAGTAGTAGTAGAGTATAGTTTCTTTTTCTGATTTATAGGTTTAGTTTTTTGCACAACTTGGAGGTACCAACACCTATAAATTTATTATATATTTATTATGTCTCGCACCCATAATTACAGATAGTCTAGCTAAACAGTTCTCCTTCTTAGGGAAAAAAATAAAACTATGTTTGGAAGCTTATCATTAGCCAAAGCGACAATCAATAAATAAATATGGGATTTTAAACCAGAATATTTCCAATCTTTTTATCCAACTATAGAAGCATCGAACCCGCAGCTGAGAACGACACGGTTACCTGGAAACTTAAACCATGCATATAATTTTTATTTCAGAATCTGCTCAGAAATCCGGGCATTCAATTAATTACAAAGAGGCTGAGCAATGAATTGGAGATTGTTTGAGAAGGGCAAAAGAAAGAAGGTGAAGAGCAGAAATAAAAATTGAATTAAATGTTTAATTTTGCAGGTATTTGAAAATTGTAAAATGCCATTTGAAAAAAAGTATCTTACTTTATATTTACAGCTTATTTCAAAAGTACCTTTAAAAAGATAGGGTGGTAAAAGCAGTGACTTGCTATGGTAAAAATTTCAAATTTCTGGCTCATTTATTAAAGGTGTTTAAAACCCCCTGTATTAAACAAAATGTGGTATTGAATCACTGATTTTACTACCCTCTATGTTTTTAAATGGGATGGCTCAGGAAATATATACTCGTGTATGTATATATAAAAAGTTATAAATATATACTTTAATGATTTTATGTAGTTGGGGTGCTTGTTTGTTTCCTTTTATGTTATTAACTGAATAAAGGTACCTAGTATTTATATCCAACTGGTTTTCAGTTTTTTTTATTTTTGCTGGGTGTAGGTATACGTACATATATAGCTTATTTAAATTGTTAGATAATGGATAGTTTACCAAACTACCTATTTATTGATTTTGTTAATTATTAAAAATTTCAATGTTTTTTAAACTAAATATTTTTCAAGTATTAAAACATTATTACAGTTAAGTATTTGCTTTGTTAAGAAAAAACGTGCTGCAAGCTTTAGGTAGTAATGGTATTGGTGCCTGTTTAAAATGTATTTTAAAAATATTCGATTTATTTCAAAACTTCCCAAAAGTCATTTAGTAAAGACATACTAAAAACGTCCTAAGAATATTCCCAGAATGTATGAGATGCATCCCACGTCATCCTAGAAACACACTGATGGGATGTTGTAGGACATCGCAAATAATGACATGGCTGTTGCCAGCAACATCCCGAAGATGTTTCAAGAAAAATAGGGACATTCTAGAGATGTCTCTATTATCCCAGACACATGTTTTAGGATGTCTCTGAGATGTTACAGTGTTATTAGGGTAACTATTAAATTGTAGGTAGCTTGACATCATCACTAAACTTAAGCTTGCCCTTCTTTGTAAAGAGAAAATAAGTTTTGTATGTGCCCAATGACCCCATACGAAAATGCTTAATACACAAACACTATGAAATATAATTAAAACGTTCTACAACATCAACCAAGTTTTTTAGCATA